TCCCCGCTCTCCACCCCCACGCGCCCCCCCACGGAGCATAGTCTGACACATCAGGTAGCAGCATGGCCTGCATGTGGTCAGTGGTGGATGCAGAAGGCATGCAAGTGGCTGGGACTTGGGGCTGTACTGCATGCCCTGTGGCGACCCCGCAATAGGAAGATGCAGACCCTGTGTGTCTGGGGAGGAGTGGGGTGAGGGGTGCACACCTGATGCTCCCCAGGGGAGTACCGTGGACCCCTAGGACACGCCACCCAGCCCACTCACCTGCAACAACCCCAGCGCTGGCAGCTGGCAGCGGTTTTCAAGCTCTGAGATGAGGGCTCCCAGCTGCGCGCTTTGCTGGCCAAGCCTCGTGGCGCCTTCGCGCAGCCGCGGGAGCACCTCCAGCTCCTCTTCCTCCAGCTTCTGCAGCAGCTGTTGCTCCTCCTCTGCCAACAGGCGGCGCAGCCTCTCAAACTCACCCAGCACATTCTGCCGCTGGCTCTCCACCATCTTCTGTAGGGCATAAGAAAGACAGCTGAGGGCAAGGCCTGATGCTAGACCAGGACTGACCATTTGGGGGATGACCACACCCCAAATCTACCACCCTAGGCTAGTCAGACACAGAATATACTACCAGGAGCCGCCTAGAGTTCAAGAGCTGATGGCACATCCAATCTGTCACCCATGGCTGCCCAGATACGTAACTGACAACTCTGGGCTATTGGCAACCCAAACCCGCCCCTTGTGCCATCAGACCTCCCATCTACCACCTGTGGCTACCCAGACTCAAGATCCATTCCTGGGACCAGCCACACCCAACATCGACCACACAGGCCCCCAAGCCCATCCCCAGATGTCAGCCAGACAAATCTGCCACCGCAAAGCTAAACAGACCAAATCTACCCCAATGCCAAATACCTCCCTGACCCCTAGATCCACTACTGGAGACCTCCCCATAACCTGGGCCTGCTCCTGACATCCATCCAAATCCATCCTTGGGACCCCTCATGTCTGCTCCCTCTATGACCCTGAACTCAAGCATGCCAGGACCCCAGGTACTTAGTGCAGAGCAGAAGGACAGACTCCAACTTTGGCATCCTCTATTACACACACACACACACACACACACACACACACACACACACACACACACACACACGCATGCACGCACACATTCTGGGCTGACCACAGGGTGTTTCAGGCTAGTCTGGCATCCAGCCGCTGACTCGATGCTCCCGCCTTCACCCCAGACCCAGCACCTGCCTGCCACAAGGCACAGGTCTCCTCAGCCTGGGCTTGGAACAGCGTCGCATCCTCCATTTGTTTCCGCAGGTGCTCCAGTGACTTCTCCAGCCTCCCCTGGTGGGACGGAGACCAGGCGGTGCCATGAGAATCCCAATCCGCATCGGGCCCTACAGGTAGGGCCCAGACACAGAAGTCTGCCTTTCCCCTCCTGACCTCCTCTGCCAACCTCTTCCCTGTTGGGCCAAATGAAATCTGTCCAGATGATGGCAGGATACAACGCTCCCCACTGGCAGGTATCCTCCTGATTCGGCAGTAACCCCTCTAGTGACCAAGGCTGCTCCTCCCCAAATTCACCAAATGTCACAGTCAAGGTTTCTCCTTATTTTCAGTGCCAGCCCTGCGTCCCTAACGCGGCCCTGCTCACCTCTGCAGAGCAGACAGCGTGTTCCCTGCTTGGTGGGCACATCCAGACTCCCTCAGCAGGACACACCCACCAAGCTGGCGCTGAAGACTGAGCTTTCCCCCCTCGAGGCCACTGTCCCCTCCTCTTCCTTCCACCTGTGGTCACAAGGGGTCACAGCAAGTCAGAGGCTAAGGCTTGAGTGTCCCCAACAACTCCTCAGTCGAACACCTGACCACCTAGGTGATGGTCTAGACTTTTGGAAGGTGATTGGGATATGCGAGTAAGGCCCTCTGGATGGGTTCTGAGAGTTCCTGCTTCTTCCAGGTGAGAACACAGCAAGAACAGGGCCACTTGTGAGCCGGAAGGCAGCCCTTACTAGACATGCCTTGACCCTCGACAGCCTCCAGGGCTGTGTACCATAGCTGTACCATAGAATGTACCACGGGAGTTCAAACTAGATGTGGATATGACTTCCCACCCCAGCACTTTTCCCGGTCCCTCGTCGCTGGCTCTGTTTTCCCAGGCTGGACCTGGACCCAGCTTCCATTTACACTTTCTTGCAGTTTTGTGTACCACAGAACGGCAAACATTCCTATAAACAGGCCAGCTGGGTCTCCAATGGCGTCTGTTTATATCAATCCAGACCTTATCAACTCCAGGCCTGGGCACGGTGCTGGGGGAAATCCTGAAGTCAGTCAGGGAGGAGAGATGGAACCTAGCTGCCAGCTGGGCTCAGTCCTCATCAGGGCTACGGTAGAAGCCACAGGCCTATCCCAGATGCTGCCTAACCTCTCCTGAAAATTCAGGCCCCTCTTGTCACTTGGCCCCATCATCATGTACCCTTCCAGCTTGTGTTCCAAGCTCTGCCCAAGTCTTTCCAGGGTTTTCTCCTGGAACCCTGGGCCTCACGCATGCTAAGTAAGTGCCTTACCACTGAGGTACAACTCGCCCTCTTTTTCTTTTGTAACATGGTCTTACTAAGTTATCTGCGCTGGGTTTGAACTTTGAACTCTGTAACCCAGGTAGGTCCTGAACTTTTGATTTTCCTGCCTCAGCCTCCTGAGTAGCTGGAAAGACAGATATGAGCCACTACACCCGGCCACTTTCTCATTTAAAAAAAAAAATTACCTTTATTATTTTGATTATGTGTATGTCTGCAAGCGGGCTGTAGAGGCCAGACAAGTCAGCTCCCCTTAGAGCTGGGGTTACAGGCAGCCATGAGCTGTCAAGCGTGAGTGCTGGGAACTTGAGCAATTTGGAAGAGCAGTAAACACTACCTGAGACATGTCTCCAGCCCCCATGTCCCCATTTTCAATGCTAAGGTCAGGGGCAGCACTTTAAACAGAGTAAACTTGTGAAGCAGCACTGTGTGTCCACTTTGGCAAAAGCTTCAAGTTCTGGTTGCACACAAGCCTATCATTGGTTAGGTCCTGATGCAGACTTCCTACCTTGGGTGTGGTGAGAACTTCGTGAAACCCAGGGGGCCCTGGGGCAGGCCTGGGTTCTCCCCTCAACTCCCAGTTCCTGCCTCTGTGAACCCTCCTCCCATCTCTCTGGTTTTACTGGAGAACTGGAGGCTCCCCTCTGGGTACTATGACTCATGGCCAGAGCCATGAGTGAACTTGTCACCTGAGCCATGGAGGCCAGCGTGACCCCGGGGACCCCCATCCAAGTGAGTGGAGGAATGACTCACTGCGTACCCACTGGTGACAGGTAAAAGCCATCTGCTGATTTCCTGGTGTCACCTGATAATGCAAGCTGTGTCCCCACACCCAAACCTGCCCGGGTGCTGTGAGGTTTATGTGGAGGTGCGGGTGACTGAACAGACACGGATACACAGGCGGGCAGAAGGCAGAGCATCGATTCTGCAGAAGACAGACACTCCCTCTGTCCTTAGCCTCCTAATTCCTAGACAGGTCCGTAACTGCTGACACCTGGAAGTCCAGGTCTCCTTCTGGTAACTCTACACAGTTTGGATAAAAGCCCCAGGGTAACTGCTTCTCTGATTTTTCTCTTTCCTCCTGTGAAGCCCTAGGCAGGAGAAATTTAAAGTGTTACTTTAACTGTAATTGTTAAGTTCGGATAATGAACCTGACAAGGAAGAGGCCAAGGTTTTTCTTCTTTTGTAATAGAACAGCTTTAGTGTTGCCCGGCCAGGATTTATCATGTCACTTCTGGAGAGATGTGGGTCCCTTTCAGCACCACCAAGGGGCTTGCGGTAGCAGGAAGGAAAGCCCGCTGGACCAAGCAAAACAAAAAACCACAGGGATATCTCTGTCTATAAGCTCCAAACCCCTGTGCTGAAATCCAAAGCAAAGGAAACTTGGTGCCTGATTTATTCTGGTTACCGGAGTTCATGCTGGGATTGGTAACACACCGGCCAAGTATCAACTCTGACGTCGGCCAAACTGTTAAATTTCACAGTGGCCCCTTCAGTTCTCCCAGCCCAGTCAGGACTGACTACCAACACCCAGTTTTTCAAGAATGCCGGTGCATCCCATCCTGGAATAAGACAGGCTACATCCGGACCCCGTCACGGGATCAGGTTAACTGTAACTCACACTCCCTCACCCAAGGAGGGACACAGTGCCAGGACATCCCTTCGCTCCAGGCACGGACCGGTTGCACTTGGCGGAACGCACCTTGAGGTCTTCGGCCGCATCCTGCAGCGGCCGTACGCGGTGAGCCCAGTGCTCCGAGCGCTCGCAGGTGGGACACAGAAGGCAGAGGTCGTCGCCGCAGAAGGTGGCCAGCGGCTCGCGGTGCGCCGCGCACACGCCCTGCGGGACGGGCGACGGCGGGTGCAGGCGCCGGGCCATTTCTGCCATTTTGGCGAGCGGTCGGTTGGGTCGCAGGTTCCTCTGCGCCGACAGCTCGCGGCACTCGGGGCACGCGTACGGGCCCTCGGGCTGGCCCCAGCAACGTCGGATGCACTCGCGGCAGAAGTTGTGACCGCAGTCGGTCATCACCGGGTCGGTGAAGTAATCGAGGCAGATGGCACAGGTGGCCTCCTCCTGGAGGTTGGTGGACAAGTCTGGGGCGGCCATGGTGCGGGCGGCAGCGCCTTGGATCAGGCTCTCCGCGGCGCGCGGGGATCGGGCTTCTCCGCCGCGGGGGCGTAGTGGGCACGGGCCGGGACCAGATGGCCAAACTCCGGGCCTCCCGTGTAGTGGGTACGCCCGGTACCAGGCTGGCAGACTTCCGCCGGAAGAGGAACAGCGGCGGAAGCAGGAAACTGGTTATTATTATGTTTTTTGGAGCCCGCTTTTGTCGTGGATTGGCCGCTGCTTGTCACACGGCCTGGGGGTGAGACCGAATTAGAGCGCATTCATCACAGCGCTTATTCGCGGTGACAGGTCTCCGCAGGTGGTGTCCCCCCGCTCCACCAGGCCCCGCGGGCTGCAAACCGTGGCCGCAGGTCCAGAAAGGGACCTCGAGGAGTATTGAGGCACAGGATGACCTTGAGTGCATGGAAACACCCAAGGGGTGGGCAATGAAGTTGGCCGTGCCCCAGTGTCCACAGCACCCCTGGACAGTTGTCGCTAAGACACCTCCAACGCACCCACCCACATGCCTGGGGGCAGACCTGAGTGATCCGGGATGGGAAATGAGACGCAGAAGGCTCCCAGTGGAAACCGCTTCGGAAATGGGCCCTTGCCACTCACTCGAGTCCCGGGGTGCCACTAACTTGTAACAGGAATGGGAAGTGAGGGGTTCTTCGGAGTTGTGAGTGTTAGGAACCGGTACGTGGAGGAAGGGGAGAGGCGCCCTCCCTAATTATCTTAAGGTGGGGCGAGGTGGGGCTCCACTTTCTCTATGAAGGACCGGATGGCCCAAGGGCACGAGGAACCAAGATACTGGCAAGCTTTTGGGGCGGGACAAAGCTAACAAAACGGAAGACCAACTTGCCCAGTGAGCAGGTATATATTTAGAAATATATAGTTCACTCGGAAATGCCGGGACTCTTTCCAAAGTTACCCCTATTTAGTATCTTCTCAAACGTTGGTTCGTATTTGAGCATTTTAATCGTGATTGTATTTCGGGAAGTTGCCCTGCCAGCACAGGTGTTGGCTCTTAGCGCCCCAGAGAAAGCCTGGGTAGGTAGCCACGGTGGTGAAGCGCCCTGCCTTCTGGGGAGCCAGGGCACGCCCAGTGACTACTATGCCTGGGTCCAAGCCTCTATCCCTTCACCCACATGGTCACTGTGGAGATGACCATCTGGCCTGACTTTGGAGCTCCCAGGCAGAAGAACGGCAGGAGCGGCCCAGGGAAGGCAGCCTGGGAGAAGCTGTGCAAGTGGGACCCATCGTTCACGCTGTAGAAGGACACCTCCCCGGCCTGGAAGTCCAGGAAGATGCCCATGTGGGTGGGAGGCTCCGTGAGTGTGACCTGAGTGGAGTCGGGTAACAGGGACAAGTGCCTCTTCCCTTTGGATAGCTGCACTACCCAGAACCCATTTTCCGGGGACTTAAGCACCCTGTCCTTCCGGCTCACGTTGTCCCTGCACACGCCCAAGGCCCAGAGTGCATCCCCGGTGAGATTCATGCCCACTTCCCAGTAGTGCCGTCCAGAGGAGAAGCTCTTCTGTCCCACGGCGCAGGGGTAGGCCACGAAGCGGTCCTTGCTGTAGGGGGCGGTGCCCTCTGGTGGTGGGCTCAGGTATCGCCTCTGGCGGCTCTCGTACAGGAGGAGATAGGGGTACGCTGAGTTGGGGTCCGGCACCACGTCCTCTGCAGAGGGTCCAGGTGGACAGAGATAAGTAGGGGTCATTCAAGGTCAAAGGGGGAAGGGCCAGAACCCTCAAGATAGGCGTGAGTGGGGCGTGGTGGTCAAGTGGCTCTTTTCCATAGTCACTCAAAAGCCTCCCCTCCACCAGTCCCAGCTGAGAATTGGGGTTACCTAAGGGTTCCACACTCCAAATCCCCATGGATGTTGATGGTGAGTCACTAGGGCTAACTGGGGCAAGCTTAATTCGGCAGAGGGTCAGACTTGGAAAGACGTAAGTACAGTTTAAGACACTAATCTCCAGTCGGTAGCTCAGTTCCTGCGTGGCATCCAAGGAAGGCAGAACAGCGCCCAGAGGACTGAGATTCAGGATTGGAGACCTGGGTCCCCACTTACCTTGGAAACTTTTGAGCACCTCTATCTGTCCTGGAACTCTGCACACAGTCTTGATAGCCACGGGGAGGACCACATCTGGGTACTGCAAACTGAGGCTCTCCTTCCTCCAGGGAACACAGTCTCATGTGCTCCCGGGCTCTCCATGTGGCCCTCCCTCACCCACCTCCACCACCACCTCTACTGAGGGTGATAGAGTACCTGGTCAAGGTGTCCTTCATATCCTGCAAACAACAGGGAAGAGGGTTAAGAGCTGTTCCCGCTGGTCAGTATCTGAGTTACCTCTGTTGCCCACTACTTTGGGACATTCCCTTCCCAGATAACAGGCTCATACACTCCATGGATCTCCCCTTCCCCTCCACTCGGCAGACCCTAAGCCTCTTCTCGGTCCACGGTCACAAGCCTGAGGTCAGCAGAGAGGAGGCGGCAAGTTCTGGGAAACCTGCAACACTTACCTTTTCAGTAGGGGAGACAGAACACAGGGCCTCTGCTCAGCAAGCACTCTACCACTGATCCGAGCCCCGCCCCTTCCCCAGCCCTTTACCCAATACTTCCTCTGAGGCAGGTAAGCCATGGATCAGCAGTCCTTGTACATACCATGCTTTTGTGTATGTATGTGTATATATGATGCAGTTTATGAGTCTGGCACAGGAAAATGCTAACATAATAGAACAGAACCATCCCTAACAATGCACTATAGTAAGTGTGCCCCACCCCCATCCATTTGAGCAACGCTAGCACATGACTTGCACAGAGCTTCCCCTCAAGGAGGCTGCTCAAAGCTTCTCCGTGGCACATATAAATTGCCAGCCTCCCTGCTCCTGTGCTTTGGAGCCATTATTAACTAAGTGTTACGTGTGCACACCCACAGATCCCCCCCCCACACACACTGTAGCTTTGATAGCCGAGACAGTTAGTTACTGGTGATAACACACAGCATAGATGTAGTGAACAAAGGGGTGGTTCACACCCCAGGTGGATTTTATCTGCATGTCTTCGGAACAGCATGCAGTTGAAAACTTAAGGGTTGTGTACTTTCCGGATTTCCCCTTCAGTATTTTCAGGTTGAGCATAAATGGAGCCATTCGGGAGGTTAAGGTGTGGGTGAGGAGGGCAGGGTCCTGAGTTTCCTTCTCTGGACTCACAGCTGCAGATCCAGTTAAGGTGCACAGAACAGTGGGGCAGAGAAAAAAGGGCAGGGAGCACAGTGGGCATGGTTTGAGGAGGGTGTGGGGTGGGTTGAGGATGAATCTAGGGTCCCCAGAGATTTCCTAGAAACCCAGGATCCACAGACTTCTCAAGCACCATTAACATCCTGGCCTGGAAAATATCTGCATCTCTAAGTGTTTCCCAGTGGTCCTCTGCCTTGTCTAGATGTGGTACGTTCCCAGCAAAACCAGGGTGGAATTGAATTGCTAGTGTCACAGGCTGAGCAGTCACAGCGTGGGTCTCTAAGAGGTAATTAGGTCACAGGTCCACCAGGGTGAGCAGAGATGAGAAAGGGTGGTGAAGAAGTTGGCCTGCCTCATTCATGCTGGCAGATGCTGCTGGCCCTCTGTCCCCGGGCCTTCACCAGAAGAGAGCAGCTGGCGGTACCGTGTGCTCTTGGACTTCCAGAACTCTGGGCTAAAACAAGCCTCTTTTTTAAAATGTATTTATTGTCTCTCCCTCAGCGTGTGTGTGTGTGTGTGTGTGTGTGTGTGTGTGTGTGTGTGTGTGTGTGTGAGTGTGTGTGTGAGTGTGTGTCTACTGGTGGGCAGTGTGAGATGTCTGCTGTTCAGCACTGGGATGGGATGGGGAGGTGACCCCCAGCCCAGCCCACCCTGTCAGCCTGCATGTGTTCTGCAGGCTCCTGGGCTGAGTGTACAATCTCAGACCGTGCCCCACCTCATGGTGAACCCACAGGTTTGTGGCAGCACGGGGATAATCCCAGGGACCCTCCGCATCCTCCGGCCTCACCTGCAGCATCTGCAGGGGCTCCTGCTGGCTCTGCTCCTCCAGCTGCAGCAGGAGCCGGTCCAGGGAGCGGCTCTGGTGATCCAGGGAGGTTCTGCTGTCCTGCAGCCTCCCTAAGATATTGTCCTCCTCCTTCTTCAGGACCAGGAGAAGCCTGCGCTCTTCTTCCACAAGGAACAGGACCACCTTCTGGAACTCCTCCAGGACACGCTCTCTCCGCTCTTTCACCTTCTCCTGTGGGAGTGGGGAGTCCCCCGCCCCCCGCCCCCTGGCTATGAGATGTGTCCAGAAAGGATGGCTTTCCTTCAAGGTTGCCACACAGCAATTCTGGACACGTGGTGACAGAGGTCCATACTATCCCTGTTACACCCTAACAGATCAGACCCTGATTGGCAGCATCCACATGGTCAAATGTCTATGTGTCCTGGTGTGGGTGGGTTCAGAACATGCCACCTCAAAGAAGGACACAGGCATGATTCATAAAAGGGACAGGGAGCTCCTAATGACCAGGCTAAATGTCAGACTGGAGTTACCCATGTTTCTAAAGCTGTTGACCAAAACTCCTAAGAAATCAGAATTTCACAGATCACAGCTAAATTTCCCAAATAGTCCCCTCCCTTCCTCCCTGCCTTCCTCTTTCTTCCCCCCACCGTGTGTGTGTGTGTGTGTGTGTGTGTGTGTGTGTGTGTGTGTGTGTGTGTGTGTGTGTGTGTTACGTACTTATCTTCCTTTTCTTCTGAGACAGGCTCTTCCCAGGTAGCCCTGGGTGGCCTGGGACTGGCTATATATTCTAGGCTGACCTTGAACGAACAGATCTTGCTTTTGCCTCCTTGAGTTCTGGGGTCATACATATGCACCAACAAGCCCAACCCCCCCAAGTAGGCCATTTCCAGTGAAGAGGAGGAAGTCAATCCTTGTCCAATGGTACCACAAGATGACCAGCTGTTGACCAACTAGTCTTCTTCCTATTGTTTCCCTGACCCCACCTTACATGGAGGATAACTCTGAAATGGAATGGCCAACTGCAGCCCTTCTCAGTCTTGAAAATCAAAGGTGCAGCCCACATTTATTTTTGTGGGTGCATGGCCTGATTCTAGAGTAAAGGAAGAGAGCTATTTATTGTCTGAATAATAAAAGAAATTCTTTTAAAAGGGGGCTGGAGTTAAGGGCACTGCCTGCTCTTCCAGAGGACCAGGGTTTTATTCCTGGCACCCAAATTGTGGTTAATATTCATCCATCTTTAACTCCGGTTCCAGGCAGTCCGAGGCCCTCTTCTGGTCTTGCCTAGAACTGCATGCACATTTTTCATAAACACATGCAGGCAAAATGAAGATAATTTTTAAAAAATCTGAACTTAGCCAGGTGTAGTGGTGCATGCCTATTGTCATAGCTCTTTGGGAGGCTGAGGCAGGAGGATCACTTAAGCCTATGAGTTCAAGGCTGACCTCAATAGTTTATGGAGACCCTGTCTACAAACAAAAACTTTTAAATGTGCTGTAATTTTGTCCTCTCACGAACTTCACGTGTTCTAGAAGGCTCCATCACCCGAAGCTCACTTTTTGTTTGCGGCCCATCCTCACCATCATTAAAACCGTCTTTTAAAAGCCTGCTTGCCTGTCTTGTATAGACTTAATTCCCAGGTCAGCCACCTAACCTACAGAGCACAGGAATGTTTTTTCTCCCTGAAGCCTCCCACTGTGAAAGGCACTTCCTGTCCCAGAGGAGGATGGATATGGACACACAGGGTGGAATGGCAGCCATTGGGCACCTACCTGCCACTCAATTAAGCTCTGTTCTTCCTTGGCTTGTAGTGACTCTGTCTTGACCATCTCCTCCCGAAAATACCTTATGTCTTCCTCCAGCTTCACCTGGATACACAAACACAGTCCTCAGTTCCACGATCCCATCTCTGTCTGTGTCTGGACTGTGGCCTCTCAGGCTGCACTGGCCCAAGAGACCATCTTACAGGAGCTCAGGGGACCAGACAGTCCCCACCCCACAAAACAGCAAAAACAAAAACCAAATCGATTCAGCAGTGAGGCGTTCAGAACACAACACACACGAGCAAATGATCTTCAGTTAGGAAGTGAAAATGGATGACTGAAGGTACCAGCTTCCCACTCCAGTGGCCGAGCCAGGCCATGGGCCCTGAGTTAGAGCCCATGAGATATTCAGGAAAGGAGCCTTTCCTGACCTGGGTTTGGGGGTTAGATCACGGTAATATACACTATATTAGTAAATTGTCTGTGCTGTTTGAACTCACTGAACAGCTGGCTTTGGAAGTAGGGTCGCCCCACATCTATTTTACACTCAGGTACGTCTGTCTCAAGATGTTCTTGTAAGTCCCTGTCCTCAGATTGGCTCGTCCCCTAACTCTGCGACCAGTAGGAAAACAAACAAACAGGGAAATAGCCCCAGAATAAAAATGTGCCCTTGGGAACAGCTAGAAGACAAAGCCACTTTCCACAGAGGTTACTCCTGTTTATCCTGTGATGTAAAAATGCATCCAGTGGAAAGGAGAAGCCAGAAGTTCTGTCACGAGAAACATCCACGGAGAGACAGCTCAGTTAAAACAAAATAAAAACCCTCCAGCCGGCTGCCTCAACTTCTCCAGTCAATTCTGCTGGTGTTTCTAAGTTCCGGATTTGATGTGTTGCCTTTGGCTCTCTTGATGAGGCTCCTCCCTCAATTGTCTCCGCTGGACATTGTAAACTCATTTGATGGCATTTCACATTTCTCTGCTGCTTCTGTCTGCCACTCATTGTGTATACTTTTGCTTGCTATAGGCTTAATTAAATCGCTCATTAATAAACATGGCTACTATAGACCCCGCCTTGGGAACATGACGATCAGCCACACACCTATTTTTTATCTTGGGGCAAAGGACACTTCCTCCATGTTGCTTGGTCTCCAACCTACTTACATTCCTATTGTGGCTGTTTCCCCAGCACTCACTCTCTCTCTCTCCTCTCTCTCTCTCTCTCTCTCTCTCTCTCTCTCTCTCTCTCTCTCTCAGCAGCAGTGCTCTTACTATGAAGTGAAGCTCCACATTTCTCACACCTTGAGTAGAGACCAACTTGACAGGACTCTCTCTCCCCCCAACAACAAGGGGATCACTGGCCCCTGGTCATACTTGGCCAGTGCTGACCGCGGCTCCTCCCGGACATGGAGGCCCCGATCTCGCGTTCACCTTATAGTCCCTTGCAGCCTCATCCACAGGCAGCACCCGATGCAGCCGGTGTTCTTGGGCCTCCCTGCAGACCACACAGATGGGGCTCTTGTCATCCTGGCAGAACAGCTTAAGGGGCTCTTGGTGCGCCTGGCACAGGTCTCGCTTCTGCAGCCCAGGGTGCTGGCGGGCCATCTCGGCCACCTTTGTCAGGAGGCGGTTGGGCCTCAGGTTCCTCTGGGGGGACATCTCCCTGCACTCGGGGCAGGGGAAGGAGCTCTTCTGCTGCTTCTTCCCTTTCTTGCCCTTGCCCTTCTCCCAGCTCATCTGGATGCATTCTCTGCAGAAGTTGTGACCACAGGCGGTCATCACAGGATCAGTGAAGTAGTCGAGGCAGATGGAACATGTGGCCTCCTCTTGTAACCTTCTGGCAAGTTCCACCGCATCCATGGCTCCTGGGGAGAAACAAGGGGAGGTCTCCACTGTAACCCCTTGGCAGGCAGAATCACACAAGTGTTGCCCCGGCCAACTCTCCTGGGCCCCAGGGCGCTGCTGTGCATGCTTCCTGTCTTGCTCTTTCTCAGATGAGGACAAGAGCTGGTGTCCAAACGTGGGACACAAAGACACTCCGAACAAATGCTACCCGGACCCCTGAACCTTGACTGTTGAGCTGGACTTGGTCCCTAGGCCAGCTCAGCTGCAAGCTCCTTCCCATGCCTTCTGGGACTCCCCAGCTTGCAGGCAAGCCCTACCCCCCTACGCTAGGACCGCCGCAATAGAGTCAAATGTCAGAATAATGTCGTGAACAAATCCCTGGTAACACAGAGACTCAGAAAGGAGTGGAGATCCTTTCAGTGAAGGTGCAAGGCAGAAAAGACACAACACAAAACACACAGAGGGGCTCCGGGCAGACACACAGACGCATGAACACATGCAGACACAAATACAGGGGCTATGTGTAGCCACGTAGACACACGTACGTACAAGCCTGCACACAGGTAAACATGTTTGTAACTCTACAGGAACATATCCACACAGAAAACATGTGCAAGCACACTTACACAGTGACAAGCACAGACATGAACATGGATGCACTCTGCAAGCACATACAACACACATATGCACAGGAACACAAGTATACACACACACACACACACACACACACACACACACACACGTTTATAAACACACGTACAGTGAATGCACTGGCACCCTGGAGTCCTACCCCAGGCAGTGGAGACCCTGAATTGCCTCATCCTGTTTCATTACTGAGAGTTCAGAAGTGAGGTTTACCCAGTGCCACCCTCTGGTCCCCTCTTCTCAACCCTTAAAGTCAAGGCATTTTCAGATATTCCGGAGTGGCTGCCACGTTAATGTCATCTGAACTTTCTGTGAGCGGAGCACAGGGCATCGGCTCTTCCCGAACCTCAAGAGCCCTGAGGGATGCACCGCTGACCACCTGGTCAGAATGGGGCGGAGGGTGAGGTGGGGTATAGGCAAGAAGGCGAGCGGACCTGGCTCCGCTGGGGTAGAGGTGGACCTCAAGGCTCCTGGTCACCTAAAGCCCTTTGTCCATGAGGGCTCATCTAGGAGGCCTCCGTAGTTAGCGTGGTCAACAGTGGAAGCCCCCGGCTCCAAGTGTGAGCTTTGTTGGGGACAGGATGGCTGGCTGAGATAGGGGAGCACGGCGAACCAGGACCGGAGGGGCCCCAGAGTCTCGGCCCCGGGGGTGCAGGAGAGTACTCACAGGGAAGGAGTTTTGCACCGCGCCAGGTGCCAGGGCCGGGTGCGCCGCCTTGGGGAAAGGCTGGGTTTGCGCCACAGTACTGGGACAGGCACAGGGGCTTTGTGGCGTCAACGCACGCAGGCGGGTTGCCTCGCGAAGGAGCCGCGGGGGCGGGGCTGAGGCGGCTACACCCAGGCGGGGAGGCGGGGCCTCGCTGGTGAGGGGCGGGACCAGCGAGAAAGGGGCGGGGACCGAAATGGGGGCTGAAAGCCTGGCCGTGATAGTTGCACGCCTTTAATCCCAGCACTCGGGAGGCTGAGGCAGGTGGATCTCGGAGTTTGAGGCCAGCCTGGTCTACAGGCCTACAGGAGTTCCAGAACTGCCAGGGCTATGTAGAGAAACCCTGTGTCAAAAAACCAAGAGAAAAAAAAGAAAGAAAAGAAGAGGAGGAGAAGTAGCTGGGGCTGGGCGGTTAAGGACAGGGCCTGGGCCTGGGGTTGGAGTTGCCAGCCCCAACTCTCCTGCTTTGTCAGCACCGAGACCAGGGAGGAAGGGAGCAGCTGTGCCGGTGGAAGGTAGGGAAGGTTCCTGCCAGCACTTGCAGGATTTTGTTGGTGAGAATGTCTGGCTTGTGTAGCGCGAGCTGTACTGAAACCCCTGCCAGGCTCCTGCCTCACTCAGCTTCTCCAGGTGAGCACCACCAAATGGGTTGTCAGGGTGGCTTTGATCCAGTGGCCCAGCATGCTTGGATTCTCAGTCCAACTGAGAAACTGACTGGCCAGATAAAGCTGAGGCGGGTGTGACTGGGGTAAAGGAAAAAGAAGAGGTAGGAATCAGCTCCCTGGAAGGCTGAGCAGCACCAGGACGCCATCCCCATGGCTGGGCAGCCTGGCTCGGTGGCTATAGGTGTAGATCGCTGGCTTTCCCAGAGCTGGCAGGGCTGGCATGTACCCTGGGCGGTCCCCTCCCTGGCAGATGTGTACAGCAGATGTGTACAGAAGAACAGCAGTGGATGCCTGGTGCTGAGCCCTGCCTTCTTTTTTTTTTTTTTTTTTTTTTTTTTTTAAAGATTTTATTATGTATACAGTGTTCTGTCTGCACATATCCCTGCAGGCCAGAAGAGGGCACCAGATCTCATTACAGATGGTTGTGAGCCACCATGTGGTTGCTGGGAATTGAACTCAGGACCTTTGGAAGAGCAAGCAGTGTTCTTAACCTCTGAGCCATCTCTCCAGCCCGAGCCCTGCCTTCTTATGATGGCCTTAGGTGCCCACCCTGTCACCTTCCCACCCCGTCGCCCTCAACCCCCCACCTCCCATCACCCTCCACCCCGCCACCCTCCCAGCCCCCCACTCCCCATGTCAACTGCATAGATAGCATCTTGCTGATCTCACTAACTACCGAAGTTCCTGACTGAGAGATTTTTCCGGCAGAGCAGAATGTTTTCATCTATGGACAAACCTCCAGCTTTTTGTTTACACTGTAGGCATTTTAAACTTATTTTTTTATTACATTTATTTAATTGTATATGTGTGTGTGGGGAGTGAGTGCCATGGCACACCTGTGGTGGTCATAAAAACAAAAATACTTGCAGGAATTGGTTCTCTCCTTCCGTGTAGGTCCTGGGGATCAAACAAAGGTCGGCAGACTTGGCAGCAAGCTCCTCTACCTCCTGAGCCACCTTGCCAGTCCACCGCTGCTGGAACTTTTATGCCATGGGATAAACAACAGTAACCTCTGCTGGAAATAGCTTTTCCTCTAGCTGTGTTTCCTCACAGTGTTTTAATGCCATGCGCCGTTTGCTCTCCTTTCTCCCTGTCCCAGGATTAGGGGCTAGCCTGTGGCATGGAGTCTTAGCGGACACTTGGAGTGTCAGCTCTCAGCAAATATAAACAACACATGATAACTTACTTAGTATTACACACTACACCATGTGTACTTGTTATGATTGTATTGGGATGCCCTCTAAAATGCCATGTATTGAGGGCCTTGCCACCGTGGTGTGGCACTATTGAGACGTGGTAGAGGCTTCAGGAAGTGGAGCCTTGTAGAAGGCTGTTAGGACATCAGGGTGTGCCTGGGAAGGGGATTAGAATGGTAGCCACTTTGTCTCTTCTTTTTGCCTCCATGGGGTGACCTCCTGTCACCTGCTCATGAGGAACAGTGTCACCAGGAGCCCCAAAGCAATAGTCAGCCATGCTGAAACCTCTAAAAATCATGATCCGAAATAAACTTTCCACTTTTGGAGGTGATTACCTCAGGCATTCTGTCACAGCAGCAGAACCTGAGTGACGACAGGTGTGGTTTTGTTTTTAAGATGGATTTTTATTTTTATGTGTATGCACGTGGGGCGCTGCAGACTCTGCGGCTGGCAGGAAAACGGACTATGAGAGGCAAGAAGGAAACCAGTTCAGCATGACTTAGCTGGGATGGTTCAAACTTCTGGAGTCTGTCCCCAAAGCGGTTTGTTTTTTGACATATTTAAGCAAAGTGTAACTTTGGAAAAAAGTTCCCTTGTAGCAACTATCACAATAAAGCTTAAGACATGAGTACATCCTTTTGCAAAGTGCTGACAACCTCTTTCATAAGAAAGGGTTCTATTGACTGAGAAACAATGCTCAGGAGGCTGGGGAATTGGGGTGAAGCCTGGATCTGCAGAATAGCAAGGATTACCAGACTACAAACAACGTCCACTCCCAGCCTTCTGGGTGAAACAGGTGTAAATCTCTTCCACTGAAGAGGAGAGCATGCATGTTTAACAATTCTGATTTCTCTATTGCTATCTGTGTGCAGGGGACCTCATGTCCTTCTTAATGTATGTATGTGGATATATATAATATATACTATTATATATTTTATATATATAATAATATTATATATATATGAGTGCATTGCCCAGGGAGGCCAGATGTGGAGCCCCTGGAGCTGGAGTTACAGGCAGTTGTGAGCTGCCCCATGATATGAGCACTGGGAACTGAACTCAGGTCCTCTGCAAGAGCAGCAAGTGCTCTTAACCAGCTCAGTATAAATGGTCTGTATATAAAATACAAAGTCCTGTTTCCTGTTTCCTATCTAGAAGTTAAGCAGCCCAGGGGAGAGGACCATCAAGGGCCAGCAAGTCCTAGATGCCACTGCAGCCTAACATATAGAAAATAAAAGGGTAGGCTGAGTTCCCCTTAGAAGTAGAAAGGGCTCTTAGAAGAGACTGCCACACAGACCACTCTAGAGCTTTCCCTGAACCAAGAGAGGAAGAGGGGCTTGAAGAAAAGGCAGAAATTGCTGAGGTTGTCTTGATACAGCACAGGATACACCAGGTCCAGATAACACACTCCGGGTCCAACCTGCATTGAGCCATTTGCAAGCACATGGAATTTTTTTCTCTGGAGTCTTTTTCTATGTTATTAACTTACAGAAGGTTGGAGGGGAAAGCATCGGACTTCAGCGTTCTCCACCTGTCTCTAGACCATGCTGTGCATCTCAAGCAAGCCACAGAACTGATCTGAGTCTGTTTCCACACATCTGGTTGGGATAGGATACATTACAAAATGATGTCTCTGGAACAGGGTAGCCATGGTCCCCAGTAACTGGCTGATCTGAGGCCAGTCCAGCGCCTCACTACCCAAGTTGGTGATCATCTGTCTTTCTCTGCAGGACAGTTTCCCCCGTGACCAATGGCGCCAGAGTCTCCTAATTTCCACTGTACTTACAGGTACAGCAAGAGTCCGTAGATTCTCTTGTTTTGAATTCGAAAAGGCCTTCCCAGAGCTCTATGGAGGAAGGAGAGTGATAAGTACTCCTGCTATTTTGTTTGTTTGTTTGTTTGAGGGGATGTGGTAGATAGAGATTGAACCCAGAACCATGCACAGGCTAGGCAAGTGTTCTGTTGTGGCAAGAGTTCCTGCAGAATTCTGCATCTGGTTTGATTCCCGAGTGTCAGCACCTAGCTTTGTTTTGCCTTTTGTGAGATGCCTTTTGTGACTCAGCAAACTGAGATGTCCTGTGACTTTTGGAATTTGCATTGTCATTGTCACTTTGGGGAGCTTAGATAAGAAGTTTTGTTATAGAAATTGACTTGCTAAAGGTGTGAATTGTGTAACAATAAAAGAAAAGCCCTTTGCAAAGCTAGAGTCAGTCAGTTTGCCAGAGGCTGCCCTCTATCCCCACCCCCTAAACACCCCTCCCCCACTCCCTCAGCAGCTGGAAAGGCTAAAAAAATCATCCTTAGAGTGCCTCTGTGTCTTCTTGACCCGCGTGAACCCACAGCCCATACAACATTCTACTGTGGCGATATTTTTGTTTGTGCTCTAACAAATAAAGCTTTGCCTGGAGATCAGAGTGTGGAGCTAACCACTAGTTAGCCACAGAGGCCAAGCAGCAGTGGTGCACACCTTTAATCCCAGCATTTGGGATCTCATGCCTTTGATCCCATACTTGGGAGGTACACACACCTTTAATCCCAGCACTAGGGAGGAGGAAACAGGAAGTGATATGGCTGGGTGGAGAGAGGAATATAAGGCGGTGGAGACAGGAGCTTGACCTCTTTCAGGATGAGGAGTTGGTGAGGTAAGAAGTGGCTGTGGCTTCTTCCTTTGTCTCTCTTGTCTTTCAGCAATTACCCCTGTATCTGACTCTGGGTTTTTATCATTAAGACCAATTAGAATTTGTGCTACATTCTACCATTAAGCCACACCAACTGTGCTTATGCTAGGGGGTTGTTTGGGAGATTAAGTCATAGACATTTTTTTAAAGACCAGGATTTTGTTATGTATTCCAGGCTGGCCTCGAACTTGTGGTCTTCCCATCTCAGTTTCCCAGGTGCTGGGATTACAGGCATGCTACACCACTGCTGGCAGTACTGAATTTCTTCCTGTCTAAAAGGTTCCAGAGGGCTGCCTCTTTAAGGCTGCTCTCCTCTCCCTGGTTTGCAATTTCATCTTCTCTTGGTTCTCACAGGGTCCTCTGTGTGTCTGTGTCCTGATCTCTTACAAAGACACCTCTCACCTTGGTCTCAGATCATCCCAACAACTTTAATTATCTCAATTACCTTTAAAGTCTTTAAAGTTCCTGTGTACAGATACAGTCATATTCTAAGATGATGGGAGTCAGGTCTTCACCATGTGAATGTTGAGTTCAGCCCCTGAAGACCCCCAAAGGCAGAGGAACACTGTGAGTACCCAGTATATTCTGGGTACCACATCTCAAGTGACTTTTCATAGCAGCCCAAGCTGGACTGTGACATCTGACCAGGTCCAGAGAAGCATTTTATGCAGATGGTCCTTGGAGGTCAACTGTGTGTGCTCTGGGGAAGCCTGCCACTGAACAGTAGGGGTGGTGGGGTTGGCTAGAGGGTGAGGCTTACAAGGAGTCCCAAGATTCTTTCTGCTACTCTACTAAAGTTCTAGAAGCCTCCAGATGTGCCTTAGTCAATGGGCAGTTCCATTCCTAGAGCCCCAGTTCCACCTCAGACCCAGCAGAATCCATTTATGACTGCCTGACAGCCTATTCATGGGACTCGCAAATCAGAAAAAAGAAACTTTATATATATTGAGAGAGCAAACACACACACACGCATATTTATGTATTTTATTTTTATGTGTTGGCGAATTTAGAAAACATGTGGAATTTAGAAGCCTACATTGGATATTGTTCCATGGGAGCCTTGCACCTTTTAATTTTTATTTTATTATTGTTTGCATGTGCACACTTGCTAGTACACTTGTGTACATGTATGTGGGTGCTTTCAGAGGCCAGAGGAAGGGGTCGGATTCACTAGCACTGGAGTTACAGGCAATTATGAGCCACCCTATGTGGGTGCTGGGAAACAAACTCTAGGGTTTTGGAGGAGCAGCAAGCATCTTAACTGCCGTCTGTATAACCCCCACTTTATCTTTTTTGGCAGGGTCTCACTGGACTTCAATTGCCAAGTAGACTAAGCTGATGGCCATCAAGCCCCAGGGCTCTGTGTGCCCAGCATGCGGCTTTTTTTTATCTGGGATCTGGGAATCAAAATCAGGGCTCCATGCTTAAGTAGCAAGCACTGTACCCACCGAGCTATCTCCTCAGCTCCAAACTATATATATACATATATTAAATAGCATTAGGTTTACAGCTGATTTGAGAGAAAGGGACAGTTGTCCCTGAGCATTCTCAACTTTTTGGATGGCTCTCCAGGGATCATCAGCCATTAACTCACATATATCTTAAAATTTATACGTTCTCCAGTACCGAAAACTAAATTTGTGGTGCCTTTAAGTTTTGAGTAAATGAGACCTAATGGGCTTCAGAATTCTTCAGATGCATACTAACATCTCATGCATACCCCTTGCTAAGAGTACTTTTTACCGTCGATGCCAAAACAGTGCACTAAGCACTTTGAAATCAATGGGCCACAAAATGGAACATAATCATATTCCCAACACTAGTCCTTGGTTATATATTTAACAAAGACATTAATAAGTGATCTCACTATTTAGCAGGAGTAAAGTTTTTTTGCATTAACCTACAGCCATATATTCACGCTATTTCTCCCTCAGGCCTCCACTATGCAGTTCAATTAGGTTCTTCTCAGTTTGAGTTCTGCGCAAGCTGGTTAGTTTCAAAATGCCTATCATCTCCAGGACACCATCAACTCTTTGTATGATTCAGAAGTCTGTTACACAGTACTGGGCATATGAGAAATCAAGGTTAGTGACACCCAGAGAATAAAATCCCAGGGCAAAACACCCTCTTGGACTTCTGGACTAGAGGTTCCTATTGCTTACCACTTAGGTTCAGTCAACACAATAGCTGGACTTCCCTCCCCTAAATGGAAATTTGGAATCTATACAACACAGGATCCTCTGGATGTGTCCCTGGAAACATTTTTCTTAGCCGTCTTAACAGATGGGCAAAGTTAACACAGACTAGAGTTTAATAAAGCACGAAGTTCACTGTGCTTTCCATCACAGGAGAAAGGCTAACTTTTGACACAGAGGAGTAGCCAGCCTCTTAAACCAGGTAAGTCATCCAAAGCAGTTTGCTGGACTTCTAATAATGCACAGCTAACACACCTGGATGAGTTAATGCAGACTTCCAGTCAGCACACCATGCAAACACACACCATGGTTGTGGCAGTGTATTTGCCGCCTGTGGAAGCTGGACTCAGTTCCCACTACAACCTTGTGCTACCATGTTCAGGCTACTACACCTCTAAAGTGAAGGCCTAGTTAAGCCGGGGACGGAACTGCAGACCAAGCAGGTTAACGGGTAAGGGTTCTCAGCTAAGCCTGGCTAGTCCGATCCCTGCACGTTCCCTCGGCCTCCCAGCCAACCTCTCCGATCTCCGTACACCAAGGGCGCACCAGACTGGATCTGGAAGGTTACAACCACTTCTTCAGACTTAGTGGGTGGCTCTGAAAAGAGCCTTTGGGTTGGTGGCAGCGCAAGGATGAAGAGCCTGTGAGGTCTAGGCCCGCTCTCCGCGGATGCGACGAGCCAGCTGGATGTCTTTCGGCATGATGGTCACCCGCTTGGCGTGGATGGCGCACAGGTTGGTGTCCTCGAAGAGCCCCACGAGGTAGGACTCGCAGGCCTCCTGCAGCGCCATCACAGCAGAGCTCTGGAAGCGCAGGTCCGTCTTGAAGTCCTGGGCGATCTCACGCACCAGGCGCTGGAACGGCAGCTTGCGGATCAGCAGCTCTGTCGACTTCTGGTAGCGGCGGATCTCTCGTAGCGCCACCGTACCAGGGTGGTACCGGTGCGGCTTCTTCACGCCACCAGTGGCCGGTGCACTCTTGCGAGCCACCTTCGTGGCCAACTGCTTGCGTGGAGCCTTGCCTCCCGTCGACTTCCGCGCGGTCTGCTTGGTGCGTGCCATCCTGCTGAAGCGCCTTCCTTCCCTGCTCCTCGAGGGCGCAGAGCGGCTTGTGAGCATGGCTTTTATAGAGCCCGCTGCATTCTTATTGGCTGCCTACCAGGTGGCATGATTGAATGCTGCACTCTGATTGGTCTGTGGGCGTGCCTCTTTACAGCCTGCCCCTTATATTCTCCCCGGGTGGCGTTGCCTCCAGAGATGTTAGCGGATGCTGTTGGGGTAGGAGAGCAGCACAGATTATAGAAAAACTCAAGTCATTTTCTCAGAGCTTTTTTTTTAAATTTAACAACTCTGCCTCAACTGCCAAGTCACAAAGAATCTTCTAGGACCTCTGCGTGCTTCTTATATATGGCACCAAGGCATAATTTTCCTGAGTTCTGGGCTATTAGAAAAAGAGTCGAGGTTTTAAGGACTTCCCAGGGTGGAGGTGGCTCAGCAGTGAAGCGAACTTGTTTTCTTCCAGAGGACCACGGTTCAATACCCAGCAGCCACGTGATGGCTCCCTTCCACCCATAACTCATCTCAGGGGATCCGACAACCCTCTTCTGCTGGCACAATTTAAAAGTATTTTAAATTACAAATATTTTAAAATTAAAATATTTTAATTTTAATTTAAAAATATTTTAAATTACAAATACTTCAGCACTAAAGTATTTTAGCATTAAAATAAAAAGTGCTTTAAAATTTAAAAATATTTTAAAATTAAAAGAGACATTTTAAAATTAAAAAAAGGTCCCTGCTGTGTCCTTGCTGGCCCGTGACAAAGGCTAGACAAGCACCATAGGTTCCCAACCTGTTACGCCAGCAGTCAGCTGAACTTCCAGCTCTCACTGATCAAGCTCAACAGATGTGGTCGTTTTGTTTTGTTTTGTACCCCCTGCCCTAACTTTGGACCAATTCCTCTCTTCCCTGAAAGACCCTTGTGGTGGTTTGAATGAGAACAGCTCTCGTAGGCTCTTAATTTGAACGCTTGGTCCCTAGCTGCCCTAACCGGTTTAGGAAGGATTAGGAGGTGTGGTCTTCAGAGGAGGTGTGTCTCGGGGGTTGGGCTTTGAGGTTTCCAAAGCCCACACTAGGCTGATTCCGGCTTCCTCTGCCTCCTGCCTGCCCATCCGGATGTAAGAAAGCAAGCTCTCATCTACCGAGGCAGCCCCCTGCTGGCCTGCTTGCCAGGATGATCATGGGCTCACCCTCTGAAATCGTAAGCAAACCCCCAGTTAAATGCTTCCTTTTCTTCATTATCTTGGCCTTAGTGGCTCCTTACAGCAATGGAGCAGTTACTAAGACAACCTCCTAAACAGCCGGTGGACTTCCTGTCTTTAGACATCCTTCATCCCGCTTTCCCAGGAGAGCACCTTCTACCTGCCCCACACTTGCCCAGAACCAGAAACGAAACAACTTCCACGATCCCAGTGATTTCTTACCCTTTAGCTGGTCCACACACAACCTCCAGCTCTCTTTCAAAATGATCACCGGAAAGCTGTGCACGTTGACACCTATCTGTAATCCCGAACTTGGGAGTTAAAGGTAGCCCAGTCAGGAATTCGAAGTCATCCTTGCCCACATAGTAACATGTTCAAGGTTCCAGGAGCTCTGACTCCCTTATTTGGGAAATGTGATACTGGGGTTTTTGTTGGTGAGCTACTTTTTTTTTTTTTCTGTCATAATGAGAAATGACTAATTCTTACTTATTCAGAGTTTACTGTTTGTAACTGTCTAGAATCAGCAAAAATCATTTTAGTTATGTTAGAGAAGTTTTACTAACTTTAAAAGATTTATTTATTGATTTGTATGTGTGCCTGCTTGGGTTTATGTGCACAATTTTGGGAGCCACCTGGCATGGGGCAGGGAGTAACCTAGGTCCTCTAGAACAGTAAGTGCTCTTAACCACTGTTAAGATGGAAAACATTTCATTGGGGCTGGCTTACAGATACAAGGGTTTTGTCCATTAATGTCATGGTGGTGTGCAGGCAGACATGGTGCTGGGGAAGGAGCTGAGAGTTCTACATCTGGATCCGCAGGCAGCAGAAAGAGAGCCATGGGCCTGGCTTGAGCATTTGAAACCTCAAAGCCCACCCCCAGTGACACACTTCTCCCAACAAGGCCACATGTCCTAATCCTTTCAAATCATGCTACTCCCTATGAGCCTGTGGGGACCATTTTCATTGAAACCACCACACCGTCAAATATGATGAGCCATGTTTACAAAGTTCCTTATGTTAAAAGGTCACTTTCCTTCAAATACCCTGGCTTCATCCTGGAACCAGGAAGCTATGGCCGGTTTGTATTTGTGTTCTGACTGGATGAAGCGTCACAGCTACCTTGGACGGTGGAGCTGATCCTTATTGAAATACACTCTTTAATCCTGTCAGATGTCAGATTTGTCTACACCACGATTTGAATGTAATCCATAAAACAGGTCTCGTGCTAATGAACTTTTCAACACAATCTGCACTCAGGAGGGTTTAATTGTGGGATGTGGCTTATGCTCAGAAGAGCAGGGCTGGGTCAAAGGTCACACAACTCATGCCCCAAAGTCTGCACCCAGTTGTCCGCAACAGAGAGGAAAGCTGTGACTGGCCTCTGAAGTTTTATGAGGAAACAACGTACTTCCTATTAGTCTGTTGGGATTTGATGGGAGAAAACTGAATTCCTATGGAGTTTAGTGACTGATTTGACCATTAAGAAGCTTTTATTTGAGTTTTCACAGAACGCAGGGAAATGCTGATACTGGTTTTTGCATACTTTTTTTTGTGGGGGGTTTTCTTGAGACAAGGTTTCTCTGTGTAGCCCTGGCTGTCCTGGAACTTGTTCTGTAGACCAGGCTGGCCTCTAACTCAGAGATCTGCCTGCCTCTGCCTCCCTAGTGCTGGGATTAAAGGCATGTGCCACCCCCCCTCCCCCAGCTTGGGTGCAAAGACTATTTTAAAAGATACAAGTGGCCTGTGAGTCCTAAGCACAGGAGTTTCTATCCCTGTGGTGCCACACCTGGCACTTCCCTCCTGGTATGTGAGAGTTTTTCACCTTGGGGACATTACCCCAAACCTCTGTCCAGCAGCTCCCAAACCTCTTTGGGTTTTTACGGAGCCTTTGCTGCACAGCCATGATTAAAGCGTGCACAACTGTTCGAACACAAAGGTTATGATCTGAAGCGGATGTACCGGCTAAGCCTGGCCAGACCTGTCTCTTCAAATTCCTCTTGGTCTCTCTGTGGAGCAGACACTCCACTGAAACTGTGATCCTCAAATAAGGTAGGTTGAGAATGTCTGTATGGCGGGCTCCAAGGCAGAAAAGCAGGGGAGGATTAGAGGGTGTTCTTAGGTCCTGTGACCTGCCTTGAGAAAGAGATCCCAGTTCCTATGCCTATTGAAGGGAAAGGGATTAGTTTAAAAAACAAAAAGGGGAGCATGAGCGGGAACAGGGAAGGAAAAAGGGAGGGAGAGCGAATTTCCTTTCTGAGGCCTAAAGTACCCCAATATACAAAAGACTATAGCTCTGAATCTGACCCAAAGTTGCTTCAAGAATCAAGGAAAAATAACCAAATACCTTAATAAAACATGCACTTAGGATCTGTGTTGCTTATTTAAAAAAAAAAAAGGTTCTGGTAATTATAATCCAGGTCTATGGGCCAAAACAAAAAACACAGTTTTAATTACACATATGATCACAAGTTACTAAGTTATGTGGACTGGGTAATTTATAACATCAGAGACCCATTGCTCACAATTCTGAGGGCTGGGAAAGGCAAAGCCAAGGCACAGGCAGATAGATTTGATGTCTGGTGGGGGCCGTAGATAGCAGCTTCTAGTGCCTTTATTTGAAGAGTGAGCACCTATACCTCGAGACCTTTCTTAAGGACTCTCATCCGACTGATTGCCTCCTTAAGGCCCCACTGTTTACTGCTCCTGTTCTACACTGGTGATGGCATTTCAGTGTGTGAATTTGGGGACACATGCAGACCATAGCACTAACCTTTTCCCTCTAAGCCAAGTAGTTAAGAAAACCTAACCTATCTGGTTAAAGAAAACATGGTATAGATACTCAACAGAATACTTTATTCTGCCAGTAACAATGAAATATGGCTGGTGTGGTGGTAGGCACATTTAATTCCAGCTGGATCTCTGTGTGGTTGAGGCTAGTCAGAGCTACATAGTGAGACACTATTTAAAAAGGGGAGGGGAGAAACAAAACAATAAAGAAATGAGAAAAAGGAAAAATAAATTGTTATTTGCTGGAAAAATGGATAGAACTCAGGATCATTATGTTAAGTCAAATAAGTCAGATCCAGAAAGAAAGGCATTGCATGGGTTCTCTAGCACGTGGAAGCTAGATAATTTTTACAGATGTGAAAGTTGGGGTCGGGGGTGTATTTATGATGGAAGGCGACCAGAGGGAGGAGAAAAAAGGGAAGAGCTGGTGTGAACAAAGAACATTATATACACGTATGAAATTATGAAAATGAAAACCATTACTATGCACAGTTAATATATTCTAATACATCAAAGAGGAAAGAAAGAAATGACGCCAATGCCTAGGGATAGCAGGGCATGGTGGTCCATGCTTACAATTTCAGCACCCAGGGCCTGAATCGGGATAACAGTTTGAGGCTAGCTTAGGCTACGTTGAAAAGACCCTTTTTCAAACAAAATAAAACACATTTGGATCTGGAAAAAAATAAAATGCTTTCTGAAGCAAATACTTTCAAGGATGGACTAGACTTACGGTCTCCCACAGGCCACAATGTCACAATCTGGGCATCAAGAAATGATAATAATGGTTCCTTAGACCATGTCAGAGTATGAAAATGTAGTCCACATAGCTCCAATCGTGAGTCGAGAAAAAGATAAGAAATCAAACTGTTGCATTTTTACGGATTTGGTTAAAAAAAAAAAAAGGAATGCAGTGACAGTCATGGTGCTTTGTTTCTAAACGTGTATGGTAGTTTAAACACAGAGGAGAGTCAATGCCAAAGCAGGGAAGCAAGAGCCGGGTGTTCGGGGTGCGACCGCGGGTTGGCGCTGCACCATCCCGAGGAAGGGGACTTTGGTGGTCGTCCATTGGTGGCGCGCAGGAACCGGGACACCACTCTCCAGTCCCAGTTTATGTTCATAGTGTCATGGAGAAAATGGCTTCACTTTCAGAAAGACAAACTGCAGCTCTTGCCTCTGGGAATACACGACCTTGTGAGACATCAGCGACATAGAGTTTTTGAAATCCTGAGGGCGCCAGGGCGGAGCTGTGTTAGAGTCGGGGAAGCCGTGGAGCATCCTCCAGGCGGCCGCTTCTCGGGCAGCCAATGTGATCAGCCGGAGCTTTCGGACTGACCAATCGGAAAACGCCCTTGAGCAAGGCCTGGCTCGGGAGCCTAAGTGTGCAAAGCGCATCGCTTTTCCAGCACCCAGAGCTAAGGCGCCCACCAGAAGCCGCCGAACACCTTCCCTGAGCCCTGGCGCACACCTACACTCCGGCACCCAGACGTCCCGAAAGCCAAACTGTATGCATCTGTCAACCCGGGTGGTTCCCAAGCTGGGCGCTGCACCCACCAGCCCCACGGCCTTAATCTTAAATCTGCTTTTCCATTCCAACAAGTCTGAGCTGAGCTACCCAGAGAGAAGTCGTGCTATGCAAGGCTGCATGCAACTGCAGAGCAGCATCTTATTTTCTGGCAAGGAGCTTTCTAGGGCCCGTAGTTTCCTTTTCCTGTCAAATTGCTCCCAATCAGAACCTAAGCCGCACCAATGGCCTTGTGGGAAAGGATCAAATGGAGGTTTAGCTTGCAGAGTTAGAGGTGAAAGGTTGGGATGGAGGTGGAACATGGGGGCGGGAACTCGGCGCTGGGACACCACTGCCCTCTCATCTCCGTTTAGCTTGCTATGGGAGCTCAATTTCTTTCCTTCTCTACATCACTGACTAGACCGGGAAGGAGTCCTTTGTTTTAAATTAACTTTATCAAATACCTATCCAACACTATGTGCAGGGCATACTCAACACGTGGATGTGAACGTAGACATAAATGTGCCTCTCTGCCCCCTTCTATGTGGATGTCAGCTAGTTGAGGATAGTAAACTGTGAGGTGGTGAGCTGGCCACAACATTGCAGAATTATCTCCTAGCAGGAATAGGGCGATATAAAGGACTATAAGCGGATGAGAGCCCTGGAAGGGAGAGGAGGCATATACATACATACATACGTATGTATGACAGCCAGACTAACAGGATTGAGGCGATACCTCACTGTTGTCTGATTGCTCAGTGACTGTAGCGATGTCAATAATCATGTGTGTCTTTACAGAAATTCCTATTTGGGTCCTTTGCCTATTTAAAATTTGAGTTGTTATTGAATCGTAGAGCTTTGCTATTTTGGATATTTATCTCTGATCAAATATATGAGTAGAAAATACTATTCCTCATTCTGTAGGTTGCATTTTAACTTAATTGATCCAATTATCTCACTTCTGTGTGTATATTTTTGTCATAGCAATTCAAGCATACTCAAAACAGGCATATTTTGTCTGTTTTTCTGAGTTGAATCACCAGTTTGTGTTGGATCTGTTTACAGGGTGAGGAAAACTTCGTGTGATCTTGACACTGGTGAGGGTGGGCTGCCTTTAGCAGGTGGGACTATCAAGCAGGTGCTGTAAGCATGCAGCTTGGGGAAGAGGTGTGGGCTTGTGGACACCATGGTTTTGGGTGATAAGAAGAGTTGTCTACACAGCCTGAGTCCAACTGGCCTGGCACTTGTTATGAACCCCAGAGCATAGTTTGAGGGACAGTATGGAAACATGCAGCCTCTGTGGTCCTTGGACTAAGCCATTAGCCTGCTACAGAAGCTTGGATAATTTCCCAGCTGACCCCTGCTGGTTCTCCAGTTGACCTTTCCTGACTCTCTAGCTTTCCTCTCTTGAGTCGTCTCTACTGAACATGCATGGAGCTTTTGATAATGATTCTTGATCAACCTAGCACAACTACCCTACACTTATGTTGCATTATGTACTACGAGTTATGTTGGCATAATTTACTCTGAAGACATTTGTAGGTTATAAGCAGGTACTATGGCTTTGTATGTAAGGATCCTGGGCACCCATAGATTTTGGTACCAGCGTTGGGGGGCATGGAACCAATCACCTGTGGATGCCAAGGGATACTGTAATGTCCTCTAGGTTCATCCAGATGATAACAAATGAAACTGTTTTTAAGCTTATGTAGTATTTAATCTGTGTGTATACCACATTTTAAAGATACATTTGCTCCTTCGTAGACATTTAGGTTAATTCCATGTCTTAGCTGTTGACAGTGCCACAGTGAGCATTTCAGTACATAAGTCTCTTCCACATACTGATTTCATTTCCTTTGGACAGACGCCCAGGAGTTGGAGAGATGTACCATATACTAGGTCTATTTTTAATTTTTTGATGTAGAAGATTATTGGACATATGGATGAACCTGCAAGAAATGGTCCCACGGAGTAGCGACTAAATGTGGGACAGGGGCTGGAGGAAAGACCTACACCTGGAAGAGGAACAGAGGATGCTACAGGGCTAGGTGGGGAGCTCCCGCACACAGCAAACACCGGAGAGATTTTCCGAGGTTGGCTCAAGCTGCATTCTTCTGGAACCCTGGATCTCTTTTTCTTGTCTTCAGTAAACAGCAGTGCATAGGGACACATGGAGAGTGGCTGAAAGAATTCTAATACAGGCATGTGTTTAGAGATACAGTGGTCCAGGAAAAGACCTCCATGCTCCCACACAACATGCCTGTGGGCAGAACCTGACAAGGTGAACTGCCAAGGCTTGCTCAGAGCTGCTGCAGTATCAGGACTGAGCCCATAACTGCCTTTCCCCGTGGTCTCTGATGACAACAGCTGTGGTACCTGAGTTCAACCTCCTTTTACCTGAGGTGGGCCAGTGTTATTCTAGAAAGCAAGCACTGGAACACATCAGTCTTCTTTCTGTCCCCTTCTCCCATCTGTGTGTGTGCGCACACATGTGCATGTATGAATGTATGTGTGTGTGTGTGTATGAGTGCAGGCAAACACGTGCCTCATGTGGGGAGGTCTGAGGACCATCTCAGGTATTGTTCTCTAGTTCCCCCTGGAGGCAGGGTCGCTTTGTTAGCTGTTGTGTACACCAGGCTAGCTGGCCTGGGAGCTTCCAGGGCCTCTCCTGTCTCTTTAGAGGCACTGGAATTAGTCAAGCGTTAACCGGGCCCTGCATTGCATGGGTTCTGGGAATCAAATCCAGGTCTTCATGCTCACAGCGCAAACTTTTCACTCGCTATGCCATCTCTCCAGCCCCCCTCTGCCCTCTAATTTGGTACACACTCCAAGTTTCTTAAAACTTAGGTGAGATTTACAAGATATGATGAACCATTTCTGCGTGAGCAGTTTTGGGACATTTAGCACATTTCGTATGTTGTGAGCATCACCTGTATCTTCTTCCATGACCACACAAGGAAGTTCTGGACTGTTTTTCTCTCCCCTTTCAGCTCCTGCCGCTATTGTTTGATCGTGTCCGTTCTGGACATCGAGATTCATTCATGTTGTGCATGAATCAGCGCTTCATTCTCTTTCATTGACTAATCGTCCATTATGAGGACAAGCCAGTTTTGTGAATCTGTTCATCAGCTGATGAATATTTGGGTTCCCTCTTTTAGATTGTATAAATGATACTGTTACTGCATCTGTGTAGCTTCTGTTAGATGTATATTTTCATTTTATTGGGCATATACCTGGGCATGGGCTATGTGGTGCTTAATCCAGTGAACATTCTCTCAAGGTAGCTGCTACTGGTAGGTACTTCACATTTCTGGAAATGGTAATCCAGATGACCAGATCTTAGGTCAGAACTGTTTCAGTGCAACTTTCTGTAATATTGTAGACACATTCAGAATCTGTGCTCTCTAGTTATTCACTGGTCACATAACCCTGAGAGGTAGTAGACAAGCTACATCTTTGTATTACGTTTTACCTAATGGAAAATTAAATATTCCTTTTGGTTGGTGGTTGTCCATTTGACAGGAGCCCTGGAGGTAGATGAGAAGCTATCCCGTTACACCTCCTTCCACAGTGCCTCCATAACACCATTAGATAGTTCCACCCAACTCCTAAAGAGCTCAACTGCCACTCAAGAGATTAAGGAACTACAATGATCTATGAATACAAACAAAGTAAAGCTAAACGGGGGAGATCTTGAGGTCCAACCTTTGGACTTTGTTTTACTGAGGACACTCATTAGCAGACTGTATAATCTATATGCAGTTTTTGTGTCTATTGCGTGGTCAAGACTCACAGTTAAGGAAACTGCTTATTCTTTGGCAAATAACTTTTTAAGACGTTGATATTTTATAAATAGATTTGTAATTACAGACGGTGTCTGAGGAGCCCAGGCTTGAATAGACCCAGTTTTGATAGGGTATATATATAATTTATATAATAATTACATAATTGTCTTGCTGTCCTGTATTGTTAAAATTTAAAAAGAGAATAGCATAGTTAACAGGAAAGGGGACACACTTTTGACTCTGGCGTTTGAAAGTATTATAACTCATTTAATCCCCCTCAACTCTCCCTTTCCCACTGGTAGTGATTAACGTGCCTGTTCCCGTTTATTTGATCTGGAACTCTCCAGCCATTCTTTATACTGCCTGTGGAAGTCATAGTTGTCTTTAAAAACTCATTTTACTTTATATGACGCTAATAATGCTTTCCTTTAAATTTATTAGAAAACATTGCTCAAACCTAGCTTTACCAAAACAGACAAATTATTTTGTTCCTTAAGATTAAGCTACTTAAGTGCATCCGATTGTTTAGCCAATTCCAAACACACTTTTGGAAATCTAAACCTGATTAGATCCTAACTCGAATGTCTCGGTGTAACTGTAAGCGTTTCAATAGAAAACACCAGCACTTGCCTATGAGAGAGCCTTATGCCAAGTCCTACAGAACCAAGCATTCCCTTAAGGTCCAAACACGAACCTTAACGGAAACCAAGTGCCTATCAAGGGACAGTGGTGGGGACAAACCGCCAGTGCCTGCAAACCAAGCTCAGGCCAACTGCAGATGGAAGCCGTTGGCCTCAGCCGTGAACGCCCCAGGCGCAGAGCGCAGATGTTCGAACCCATGGAAGGAATCGGGATTCCCAGCCCTGGCCAGTACCTGGCGACAGGTTCAGTGTACAGCTCTTTCTTTGAGGTTGTGGGTGGCTCTGAAAAGAGCCTTTGGTGTCCGTTAAGTAGCACTAACGACCAGGAGGGCCTCACTTGCCCTTGGCCTTATGGTGGCTTTCGGTCTTCTTGGGCAGCAGCACCGCCTGGATGTTGGGCAGGACGCCGCCCTGCGCGATGGTCACGCGGCCCAGCAGCTTGTTGAGCTCCTCGTCGTTGCGGATGGCCAACTGCAGGTGGCGCGGGATAATTCGTGTCTTCTTGTTGTCGCGGGCCGCGTTGCCAGCCAGCTCCAGGATCTCGGCCGTCAGGTACTCCAGCACGGCCGCCAGGTACACCGGGGCGCCGGCGCCCACCCGCTCCGAGTAATTGCCCTTACGGAGAAGACGGTGCACACGGCCCACCGGGAACTGCAGGCCGGCGCGGGACGAGCGGGATTTCGCTTTTGCGCGAGCTTTGCCGCCCTGCTTGCCACGACCAGACATCTTCAACTGATGACCACAAAGAAGAACAGAAACCAGAAACTAAGCTGACGATAACGACCTCGTAAGCCCAAGCAAGCTCTTATATATGATCAGGAGGGAGGCTAGACTGCGCCTTTCTATTGGACGGCAGCACTAGCCAATCAGAAAAAGAATCCAGCACCTCCTAATTTGCATAAACATTACCCTGAGATGACGTAATGTACAATTGTATTCAATCAAAAGCGAGTAAAGTCTGATCCTTCATTTGAATATAGTGCATATAAATAGAGTTGGTACGGCGGACACGCGCGTTTCCCGAGAGCAACTAGCCAATATGCCTGATCCGTCCAAATCTGCTCCAGCCCCCAAGAAGGGGTCCAAGAAGGCCGTCACCAAGGCGCAGAAAAAGGACGGCAAAAAACGCAAACGGGGCCGCAAGGAGAGCTACTCCATCTATGTGTACAAGGTGCTGAAGCAGGTGCACCCGGACACCGGCATCTCCTCCAAGGCCATGGGCATCATGAACTCGTTCGTCAACGACATCTTCGAGCGAATCGCCAGCGAGGCCTCCCGCCTGGCGCATTACAACAAGCGCTCGACCATCACGTCCCGCGAGGTGCAGACGGCCGTGCGTCTGCTGCTGCCCGGGGAGCTGGCCAAGCACGCCGTGTCCGAGGGCACCAAGGCTGTCACCAAGTACACCAGCTCCAAGTGAGGCGCTGCGCGGGCGTCCTCAATCCAAAGGCTCTTTTCAGAGCCACCCATACAGTCGTTAAAAGGGTCTTGAACACAGCGTGTGTGGTCATTGATGACTGCCACGCGCCGGAGGGAGATTCTCTGTTACTGGGTACCACTAAGATGTGTTTTTGAGTGCGAGGGATGTAGGGCTGCAGCTGCTCTGCTCTTCCCAAGGGTGGGATGAGAACGATGGTCAAGGGATTAGGCAAGGGGCGTGAGTCCCCTCCCTAAGCCTCCAGTCTTCCCCAGGTGGGCGAGGTCACCAGCGCAGTGGGATTCTGGGTGCCGTGCCCGCTGGGTGGCCTCTGCATCTGCGTTCCTTTAGAACCTTTCCTGGAACAGACAGGCGTCTTTATCCCTTGGATATGACCATTCTGGCACTATATCCCAACAGATCCTGCACTAGCAGTATGCCCAACAGGGGTTGAAAAGGTTACGGGGGGCGACACCCGCAATGCCTGTGTAAACGAGCTGGATGTAGCCAGCTGCACCTGCAGCTACCAGCAGTTTTAGTGGCTAGGGGATGGAAGGATTTGGGAAAAAAAAAAATCCCGTTGTTTTGAGCAAATGAGTTCCTCCCCTAAAGCTGCTTTATTTTCTGTGAAGCGTTGGTAACAGAATTGTCCACACTCAGCATTTATTTGAGAATGCCATCTTGATCTGGAACGTTTGGGCAGGAGATCTTAACCGTGGAAAGAACACCACTTTCCTTGGTTTGGCTATATTTATTTGAACCGGTATGAGATACATTGAGAATCCTATCGCCGTCTCCAGCAAGAAGTAATATAAATTTTAATTTTTTCCCCAAATAGTCAAAGGGAGCCTGTCTCATCTGGTCCCCTGCTAACGGGCAGTTGGAAGGAGGGGGTGGGGTGGGGGTGGGGGGTGGTGTCTCCCCTGGAACTTCCTACAGGAGCCGTGCCATCGATCCCTTTCCACATAAAAGGATTTTGACAGCTTCATACGTTTTAAGGTTATCATCTGAAGTATTTTTATCCAGTCAACTAGCTGCAAAGATGCAAATGGCAACGTAGGACTTTTTTTTTTTTTTTTTTTTAATTAGTCTTAAAAATACCTATTAGAACATTAACACTAGAGTCAGGACAAAGTAAACCAAATTCTTTAACAGATATTTTGGATTATTTTCTTTGAGAATTTGTCTCTGTTTTCTTTCTGCCTCAAATCCTGCCAACAGCAATTATATGTATATTACATTTTACCAACTGCCATTCTCCAGAATTGTCTATTGAAATTTGAACATGTCAACCAAGCCATCACAGTGTTTAAAAGGGGACACCAGGACAGAACACAACTGTTTAAGACACAAATCATTAAGTTTTGTTACGTTAGTGAAATTGAGTCTTCCATTGAGGTTTGATGGGAGGAGGGGGTGGGTGGGAGACTGAACTCTGGACCTCTAGTCTGTTAGCCAAGGTTGTACTACTGAGATACCACTCAGTCCTCTTCTTTCCCCCTGCCTGGGTTGTTTATTTCAAATCCATTCATGGGCACAAGCAGTCAGTGTGTGGTATATAGCATTACTTTCATTTGACATCTTTTTTAAAAAGATAGAAAAAAGTGCATAGTAATAGAAGCCTTGTCATAACCGGTTTACCCAATACATTCCTTCTTTAGTCATTATTGAAAGCATAAACCATGATCCATCATCAAAGGCGAGACCTGTCAACAGTTCTTTCACGTTCTTTCTCTGTCTCTGTCTGTCTGTCTGTCTGTCTGTCTGTCTCTCTCTCTCTCTCTCTCTCTCTCTCTCTCTCACACACACACACACACACACACACACACACACACACACACAAACATATACACACACCCCAGTGTAGGTATCATGCAGGCCTTGCTGGTCTAGAACTCACTATATCGATCACACTGGCCTGGAACTCTGAGATCTGCCTGCTTCTACCTCCCCAGTGCTGGAATTAAAGGCATGCACCACCATGGACTCATGCCAGTATTCTTTTTTTTTTTTTTTTTTTTTTGGTTTTTCGAGACAGGGTTTCTCTGTGTAGCTTTGCGCCTTTTCCTGGAACTCACTTGGTAGCCCAGGCTGGCCTCGAACTCACAGAGATCCGCCTGGCTCTGCCTCCCGAGTGCTGGGATTAAAGGCGTGCGCCACCACCGCCCGGCTTACATGCCAGTATTCTTAATGGTCTCAAAAACAGAGGATTTGGAAGCCAGGCATGGTGGTGTAGACCTGAAATGTCAGTTGGGAGGAGCAGAAGCAGGTGGATCTTTGTGTGCTCAAAACCAGTGTGGTCTGCATATCAGGTTCCAGACTATCCAGAGCTACATAGTGAGACCCCGTCACCAAACAAAACACAAACAGGATTTACATTAAAAGAAAAAGGCTGACTACAATCCTCTCTGAACTGATGCCAAGTGATTGTCAAGGCCTCTAATGCTCTCATTATACAGGGGAAGTACTCTATTACAGAGCTATATGGCCAGGCCCCGGAGTCAACTATCTATTTTAAAATTTTAGCTTTGAGTGTTTCCCCTGCATTTATGTGTACCACACGTGTGCAGAAGTCAAAAGCGAGGGGGGGGGTCAGATCCCTTGGAACTAGCATTGTCGATGGTTGTGAGCCATTAATGACCAGCTATTGTGGGTATTAGGAATTGAACCCAGGTCCTCTGCAAGAGCAATAGGTATTCTTAACCCTGAGCTATTTCTTCAGGCCCAAGTATCCGGTTTTAAAGGAACTCTTGCAGGTGTTTCATCTAGGCCTGGTACAATACATGGTTTCAATAAACTGGAACCTTTGCCTCCAGATGAAAGAAAGATGAGCCTAGCAGACGAGCCTAAACACTGTTTAGTACAAAAGATAGAATTGGTGAGCAAATCTAGCACACAATCATAACTTCCAAGGATAATCCTCTAACAATACAATTATGGTTGTTGATAATACAATGGTTTTATTTTTTTTTAGGTTTTTTTTTTCTTTTTGTCGAACAAAAGCTGGAAGTTCGAAATAAGCTGCCCAAGTGTATTCCTTTGGCAACCACAGCTCGGAACGGGGAAGATTCATCCTCTTGTAGAGTGTGAATATTATGGAGGAGACAAAGAAGGCAGAAAATTGTCTCTGCTGTTGAGAGTTTGTAATATAGAAAACTGAGAGAACTAACTGTATACACAATGTCTCCAGTTCCATGTTGTAACAGTGAAAAGAACTGGTGAAATCAAAAAATCGGGAAGTGTAGCAAGTGTACAACAAATATGTGAGAAATTATAATAGCAAGAACTAGGACAATGCAAATGACCTGTTCTCTGGATCTGAAAAACTTAATGTTAGTAAGGTTGGAGGGGGACAAGAGGGATCTGTAAGGCGTGCAGTCTGAAACGTGGACGAAACTGCCCCAAATCTCAACTGGACGCTCCAGACAAATTTGCTAATTATTAGGGAACCAACTAAGAATTTTGAGCGAGGGAAAAAGCTGTCTCTTTAAGAAGAAATTACCAACAGAAAGACTCGCCTTTCCTGTGTGAGACAGTAAGAGGTTAAATGTTGACAAATGAGTGACTGTCACGGGTGTGAGGAGAAAGACCGCCATTGTCCATCCGTGAAGCTGACACGTAGTCGGAACCAGGGGCGACTAGGAGCTCATGGAAGATGGGCTTCTCCAACACACAATGAACCACTCGTACCGGAATTTTACCGGGAGGGTGATTTGGACTGTTCTTGCACTTATTACTGCGAACATAAACTGAATACGGTGTATGTAGGTTTTTTATTGTTTTCTTTTAAAGGTACTAATTTACTTTATTTAAAAGGACGTTTCACCATTTACTAGAGTTCCGTTCATGTATACACACATTTTTATGATATATACTCACGTGCACACACACATACGTATACACTGAGATGAAACAAAAGGACCTTTCATCATTTAAATACATGCATGGGTAAAATACCGGAATCTTCACTGCAAGACTTGGGCTTAGTGGTAAAGGTTGGAGAGCAGAGGGCCTGTGCATCGCATTTTTAGGCGTTTCGAGCAGACTACCGAAGACCTGCTTAAACTGTTTTTGACTGGAAGATCTCGAAGTGTCTAATCCTGGCAAGGGGAGGAAGGGAGCAAAGAGACGGAGGAAGATGGCTCCGAGAGCATCAGCCGCGAGAGCACAACCTGAGCCTCAACACCGCACTCAGCAGGACATGGGGGAGGGAGGGTGGAGAGGGTGGGAAGATGAGGAGAGATTCTGCTGCTGACGCCCCCCACCCCCAACCGCGCAGTCCACGCCAAATGTCTCCGGAAGCAATCTACTAAACTACGTTCTCTGAGGCCAAAATTAAACCAGACCAATTTCTTTATTAATGTATTATAAACAAGGCGTGTATTACCTCAGGGTCCCAATGTCCAACAACCCCCCCCCCCCACCGCAATCTCAATGCACATCAAGTGAATGACAGATCTTAATCACACCAGGTAGCAGGCTCCTTTTTTGAGATTGGAAGGTGGCTCTGAAAAGAGCCTTTGGGTTGGTGGCGCCCGCGCCGCGCCTCACTTGGAGCTGGTGTACTTGGTGACAGCCTTGGTGCCCTCGGACACGGCGTGCTTGGCCAGCTCCCCGGGCAGCAGCAGACGCACGGCCGTCTGCACCTCGCGGGACGTGATGGTCGAGCGCTTGTTGTAATGCGCCAGGCGGGAGGCCTCGCTGGCGATGCGCTCGAAGATGTCGTTGACGAACGAGTTCATGATGCCCATGGCCTTGGAGGAGATGCCGGTGTCAGGGTGCACCTGCTTCAGCACCTTGTACACATAGATGGAGTAGCTCTCCTTGCGGCCCCGTTTGCGTTTTTTGCCGTCTTTCTTCTGCGCTTTGGTAATGGCTTTCTTGGACCCCTTCTTCGGGGCTGGAGTGGAGCGGGAAGGCTCCGGCATCCTGCTGCACTGGCTGCACCAAGACGAACGCAGAGACTGTGAAGGCAAGGTTATTTGTCATCCTCATATTTAAATGAAGGCTCCAAAGTAGTATCATCTGATTGGACGACCATAAAATGTTGTAACTAGGAGACACGGGTTCTTCTTTCCTATTGGACGGTATCGCAACCAATCCGAAAGTGCGTTCGCTGAGCCGGCTCAGGTGTCTCATCTTTGTCTGAACCCTTTGTTATAACTGGGATGATTTAGCATCTCTGGCAGTTGTGGACGTGGCTGAAGGGACAGTACTGCCGGATCCGACTCTCGTTGAGCCAAATCGCTGGCCATTTGTTTCTCATCGACAGCTAACGAGGAAGAAGCTTGTTGCCTGCTTAGTTGGAGGAGGAAATGACAGCTTTCAACTGCCATTTATTTCACATCATAGCCTCTCTTCAGGGGAAACAGAAGCAAAGACACATTCCTATGAGAATTCATGCGCGAATTTCAACAGTTCATTGGGAAATCTGAAAACACACTAAGGCAGTTTCACTGGGAGTGTGTGGCCAGGTAGATTTTCATCTGGGGAAAGGGATTCTTGGGATGTCCATAATGCCCGGAACTGGAGCTAAGGCTGACGTAACGTTACAGATGGGTACCATATTTACAGGACACAGCAGGTTACAGAAGTTATACCTCGCATAATAATTTGTGCGCGTGTACACACACACACACACACACACACACACACACACACGGTGCTGAGTGAAAATAAAAAGGCTGTATGTTCACATCGCTCCCATTTCAGCCTCACTTGGAGAGCTGGCTTTAGAAAAGCCGACTGTTAACTCCCCGCTTCAAACACACTTGAGTTATGATCTGCATATCATAGTTGAGGAATCCTGGTCTGAAGGCCAGTTAGCTACCATACCTGGGGCATGTAATCTACTTTCTTCGCCCCTCCGTTTCCTCATGTGATAGTATAATGCCTGTTAGATGCTGTGAGCTCATATGGGTGAACAGGCTGGCAAGGTGCCCTGCACACACTAGTGCATAATTCCTATGAGCTCTTTTCACAGCAACACACAGCATTTCTATCTCCCACCAAAATACAGAGTGAACTGTAATCCCCCACGCAGAGATGTGGCTGTTTCTGCAGTGTCTACAGGGCAAAAGGCAATAGGGCAGCCAGCAAATGCCCAGCCAACGCTTGGTGAAAGAACCAACCTGGAACTCTATTCACTCTAGCTGCTGAGGCCTTGGGTGTTTTGATATTGGAAGACTTCAGGGGAAGGGAACCAGAGTCTTAGTTATCAGCATGAGAAAATGCTTTCAAAGCAATTTTGTAAAAAAACATCACTTAGAGCCTAGCGGTGGCGCACGCCTTTAATCTTAGTACTCAGGTGGCAGAGGTAGGTGGATCTTTGAGTTTGATGCCAGCCTGGTCTACAGAGCGAGTTCCAGGACAGCCAGGGCTACACACAGAAGCCCTGTCTTGAAAGACAAAAACAAACAAAACAAAAATCACTTAGGAAAAAGAAAACATTTTGGGTGTCAACCCTCCTATACACACAATGTAAATAAACCTTGGGTTAAAATTACCTGCAACTACCAAGAGTCAAAAGGTTAATATTAGAATTATCTGTATAATTTAGAGAAATTTACAAATTGTTTAAGAACAGGAATAGGAAAGCAAATCTTAAAAAAAAAAAACACCAAACTACTGCTGTTGATATATCATACTAATAGCAAACAGATGCTTGTTAAAACAATGACAAATGTTTCACCTACTAAAATGGTGGTGGGTGGGGCTCCATAGCTCAAGCAAGAATACTGCCCTGCCCTGAAAGAGGAAAGCTGGCAATATATACCAAGATATTCTACAATGTGCAGAAACCCCACTGTCAATGTAGTCTCCCAAAGTAACAACCATGTTTGCAAGCAAAAATAGACATTCACTTCCAAAAATAGCATGTGTAAAAAAAATGTAGACGTGATGAGGCCCCACCACATCATGGCTCGCTTTTACAATGGAGTTTGCTATCGTTGAGACAAGGTCTCATGTAGCTCATCCAGCCTTGAGTTCCAGATGCTCTTGCTTCCATCTCCAGTGGGTTAAGATAACAGCTGCCACAGCTGGCTCATTAATTTTCAAGGCTATTTAATGACAAGTGAAGACAATATTAAACAAAACTTACTAAGTACAACTGCATGAAGGGCTCCTCCCAGTGAGGTCAACATCTTAGTCACTTTCAGTCCATGTTGGCAGTGTGCTCCCGGGTGTCTTTTCTTTCTTTTTTTTTTTTTTTCCAGAGCTGAGGACCGAACCCAGGGCCTTGCGCTTGCTAGGCAAGCACTCTACCACCGAGCTAAATCCCCAACCCCAGCTCCTGGGTGTCTACACGGTGTGTAGAATGGACAAACCCTGTCTCTCTCCCTCACTCCAAGGCCACATTGCAGTGGTGACTCACCTATGGTGGGTGATCCTGAAGGAAGACTTCCTGTTTTGTAGATCGTTTACTGTTGTTATAAAAACATACCCAGTGGGCCGGGCGGTGGTGGCGCACGCCTTTAATCCCAGCACTCGGGAGGCAGAGCCAGGCGGATCTCTGTGAGTTCGAGGCCAGCCTGGGCTACCAAGTGAGTTCCAGGAAAGGCGCGGCGCAAAGCTACACAGAGAAACCCTGTCTTGGAAAAAAAAAAAAAATACATACCCAGTGGGTCTGGTATTGTATAAAGTATAAAAGTTGTCAGAGTAAAAATAACTCCTGTCAATCTTAACAGACTGGAGGGAGCCATGGAGGGGCAAAGCTGAGAGGTTGTGAGGGAAAGGCTATTTACTCACAAATGACATAGTGTTCCATTACAAGACTCGGGAGCCAGGAGCTTTTGCAGAACCTCCAGAAACCTTAAAGAACGCTCTAAGGGACTGAGGGCCATAGGTTAGTTAGATACAGTCTGAGTTTAATATTAATATGCCTCAGGCACACACACACACATCAATTACTTCTACATGAAGATCTTCCCATCAAGCGCCTGTTCAATCTCAGACTGGTGCCACTTTTGCTATTGGTAATTTTGGCCAAAGATTATCGTTTCAAAATATCTTACACATTCTTCCTCATTTGTGGCTTTTGTTTGTTTGTCTTGTTTTGTTTTTGTCTTTTTGAGACAGGGTTTCTCTGTGTAACAGCTTTGACTGTCCTGGAACTCAGTTGTAAACCATCCTGGCCTCAAACTCACAGAGATCTGTCTGCCTCTGCCTCCTGAGTGCTGGGATTAAAGGTGCACACCACCATGCTCAGCTCCTGTGTCTTAAAAAACAAAACAAAATAAAACAACAAACAATCAAAACACCCCCTTCCCTTGCTCCAGCCCCTTTGAATGTGCCATACATAATCACTTTGGCACACACGTTCCCATTACAGCACTTGGCTTTTCCACGGCAGCATTCTGTTATTGATAATGCAATATCAGTGGTCTGGAGAACCTCTCCAGTTGCTTAGATTGGCAAAATCAACAAGGGTTACAGATAAAACATTGGCAAGCTGAAGGGTTGTGCTTGGAAGAAGGAAGGGAGGAGAGAAGGGAGGGCAGGTACAGGAAAGGAAGGGAGGAAGAAGAACCAGGGAGAAAGAAGTGGAAGAGAGAGAAAGAGAGAGAGAGAGAGAGAGAGAGAGAGAGAGAGAGAGAGAGAGAGAGAGAGAGAGGAAGGAGGTCCACTAGAGTTAGCTCAGTGGCTGTAAACACATCCGTTGTCAAGCTTTGAGGACTAGAGTCCAATGCTGGGGTCCACACAGTGGAAGTGGGGAGGGAGTCCAGCACCTTATCCTCTGACCTCCAACACAAGCTCACAATACGAATTGAAATGTAATTTTGAAAATGAAGAGAAGAAAATGAAAAAGAGAGTCTGGGAAATGATGGCTTCCGTAGCAGCCACTAAAGGCTGCACCCCTTCCTGATTCTCTTGCCCATCTCCTGTCGGCTCCCTTCCCTCACCCCACCCCTAGCAGTCCCGTTGGTACACTTTAAACGCGGATGGTAAAAGGTTTCATTTTGTCCGCACCTCCTTTCCCTGTCTTCACTGGTTCTAAAGCACAGTGCCTGGCACTGGAGGCCATCAGTCCACATATGGAACGGATTTCTTTGGCATTCATAAGCACATTGACATCCTGGATTTGGGTGCAGCTGTGGATGACAAGCACACATCCTTCTCTACTACCCCAGCTCTCACCCCAGCATCGAAACTGGGTTCTTTTAAAATTCCCACAATTAATACAAGTGATACACTGTTATGGCCAATGTGACATACATTGGGGGAAGGGGGTCCCAAAAGAGGCTGATAATTGGAGGAGCAGTAGCACTGGGCATCTAGACTCCTTTTACTCAGGGGAAAAAAGGGCCTGCAGAATACAGAGGACAGGTTTTCAGGCTTTCCTGCCCGGTTGAACCTTGGAGTTCGGAGCTCCAGGAAGTAGGTGCAGGCTCTGGGGGTTTGTAGTGAGCTTGAAGTAGGAACGGGGTTTAGGCATCTTTTGTCCTCTGCAGTTTCCAGCCGGCATCCTATGGACAAAGGCCTTGCTTCCCACCATTATCCTGACTCCAGGACATCTCTGTGGCGGCGGCTGGGGCACTGGAGAGTCCTTCAGTTAAGGACAGTGTTTTCTCCGATTGTGCATCCAAGGGCCTCAGCTGACCGCACCGAGGGCATGGGGCTGTGAGGAGGTAAGGTGGCCTGTTCCTCTCGCCTGTGCTTGCCAAAGGGTCTTTTGTGGCCATTTCTCCTTAGCCGCTAAAGATCGACGGTGGGAGCTATTGAGGCAAATCTTGGCAACCAGTATCAGTCCCAGAAAAGCCGGGCTACCATCCCCAGCTCTGAGAGCCGCACGTACCCTAAGTTTGGTGCCTTTGGGCACCTGTCTATCCGCTCCAGCCGCGCGGCTCTGGTGAAATTTTCTTCCTTGCGAGTGACCACTTCCTTCTTAATTCCCTTAAGTAATTTCCTGCTTCTCCCGCTAAGCACAGTAGTTAAACGTCTTAGGGACTGCTGGGAGTGAACCAGCGGCTTTCGAGCAGTGTGTAGAGAAGATATGACTGCATACTCTCCCAGACTCGGAATTCATGAGAGTACGTGTTTTCTCAAAAGAGGCGGCGTTGGCACAAAAAGAAGGGTCGGGAGGAGGGGCAGAGGAGTCACGGTGGCCCTATAGGACTGCTGGGGGTGGGGGATGGGGAAAGGGAGCTGGACCCGGAGATGAGCGAGAGAATCAGGAAGGGATGCAGCCATAAGCAAGCTGCAGGTCACATCCCAGACCTTCCCCAGGAAACACCAGAGCCTGCCCTGCCCCAGGTTCCCTACTCCCCCGACTCCCAACCAGAGCACACATATCTAAGGAAATCATTGAGGTGTCCAAGAACAAGGGAGAAAATATGGAGGTACAAACGCTCGTGAAATAACGAATTCCTCACCAGGAGGTGAGGAGGTAAGCTGGCCTGTTCTGAAGGCCTCAGCCGAATGATGGAATAAAGGACCGCCTTCGGAGCGGCAGGCAGTGCAGCTCTCGGATTGTGTCTGCGGCTGGTGTCGGTAGGAGGGTGCATTGAACGCAACGCACTGAAATCATCCCAGGCCTCTGGACTGGATTAACCCACTCTTGGACGGATGGATTTGTGGGTTACCGCTGGGGTGTTTTTGTTACAGCTGGCTGCCGCTGGCTCTGTCTCACCCTATGATGCTCTGAGAAACGCCTTTATTCGGGAGAGTCCCCACAGCAAGAAGGCTGTCACCAGATACAGCTCTCAGTTTTGGATTTCCCAGCTTTAGGAACCCAGATAAGCTTGTCTCTATAAACGATGCAGCCTATGGTATTCAGTCACCGCTGCAGAAAACAACCGACAATCCCCCACCTGCCCTGGGAGCCTCCATCTTTCCCTGCCAGTCCCTTTGCAGGGGTAGTGTGTTGGGATTTCTCAGTCACTTCTCTCCACCCGCTAAGAAGGCCCCGCTGTTCACAAGGCACCAAGTACTCAACCCACGTCCTAATCCTGCAGCCAAGGATTTGTTACTCCTCGCTTGGGCTTCGTCTCCTTATCTTAAATAATTATTTTTTAATTCAGGTATGGTGGCGCCAACAGAGCAGGAGACCGACGACACTGTGAAAGCTGTCAGAAGCAAAAACATAGAGCCACTCTTTGTTATAGTGAAGGGATCTCCTCTAGGCCTGACATGCCATCTTACCGGTCATCATAGAGCAGAGATGCTGTGAAGACCCGAAGAATGAATGACATCTAGGTGTATGGTAATGGTAGTGGGGCTGTTAATATTCACTCACAGGAAGAGGAGATAATTGCATCCCTGCTTTTTATCCTGGGGGTCTTGGGGGTTCCTACTGGAGCATATAGGGAGTGGAAGGCTGGCTGGAGGTGGGAATTCCCATGATGCAGCTTTCCCAAGTTATCATCCATGCTGAGGTGGAACTTCTTGGTAATATAATTGTTGATTCACCCATGATCCTATAAGTAACCCCTTCCCAAGTCCTGTCAGTAATTCCAATAAACTTACCTGGCTCACCAATTTGAACTTGGTGGAATTGTTTCTTTTATATAAC